AGAGAGAGAGAGAGAGAACATCGGCATAAAGAATTTAAAATGGCAATAAATAAATACCTATCCTATATAATAAAGATGTAATATGCAAATGGTCATTACACCGTGAAGCGTAACGAACGACCATGTAACAACCGGATCACAGATCAGCAGGAGGGGGGGACAGCGAGCTACAAGTGGGCGGTGGAGAACTACAGGAGGGGACAGGGCAGCAAGCTATGAGGGGGAAGGAATGGGGGGGGGCGCGGAGGGAGTTACAGGAGGGCGGGGCAGTGGGCGGAGAGCTACTGGAGGGTGGCAGCCGGGCGAGCTACTGGCACATGATTCGTGCGCAGGACTACTAGTCAATAATAACCTTAAATGTGAATGGTTTAAATGCTCCAAACAAAAGACAAAGGGTAGCTAAATGGATACACAAACGTGACCAAAATATATGCTGTCTACAAGAGACCCACTTCAGAATAAAAGACTCACACAGGATGAGAGTGAAGGGATGGAAAAAAAATTCCATGCAAATAGAAAAGAAGCTGGGGTGGCATAACTCGTATCTTACAAGATAGACTTCAAAATGAAGGCCATCACAAGAGACAATAAAGGTTACTACATAATACTAAAGGGAATGATCCAACAAGAGGATATAACCCTGGTAAACATATATGCAGCTAAAAACATAAAACAACTTCTGAAGGACTTTAAGGGAGATATTGACAATAATACAGTCATAGTAGAGGACTTTAACACCCCATTGACTTCACTGGATAGATCTTACAGACAAAAAATTAACAAGGACACAATGCCTCTAAATGACACACTGGATCAGATGGATTTAATTGACATTTATAGAACATTTCACCCTGAAGCTGCAGAATATACAATCAATAAGATATCACCTTACACCTGTCAGAATGGCTATCATCAACAAATTAACAAATGACAAGTGCTGGTGAGGATGTGGAGAAGAGGGAACCCTAGTACACTGCTGGTGGGAATGCAGACTGGTGCAGCCATTATGGAAAACAGTATGGAGTTTCCTCAAAAAAATCAAATATGGAACTGCCACTTGATCCAGTGATTCCACTTCTAGGAATATATCCTAAGAAACCTGAAACACCAATCAGAAGGAATATATGCACCCCTATGTTCAAAGCAGCGCAATTCTAAGATCTAAAAACAGTTCAAGTGCCCATCAGTAGATAAGTGGATAAAAAAGCTGTGGTGTATTTACACCATGTAATACTAAGCAGCAGTAAAAAAAAGAAGGACCTCTTACCTTTGAGACAGGATGGAGGGACCTGGAGAATATTTATGCTAAGCGAAATAAGCCAGTCAGAGCAAGAGAGGTATCACATGATCTCACTCATATGTGGAATTTAATGAACAAAATAAACTGTTGAATAAAATAGTTACAGAGATATCATGGAACAAACTGTTGTATCTCAGAGGGAAGGCAGGGTGGGGGAAGAGATCAATCAATGAACTTGTATCCTTTATGCATACCCATGGAC